TGTGATTCGAACCCACAACACTCGGCAGTCTAGTCCACGCTCTACCAATACCAACTGGGCTGCCAGCTCGAAGGGGTTTAATCTTCGACGCAATGCAACACAAAAGCAAACCACTATGCTACTTCACTCAGTATATACCTTATTTGCATTTATGTGTATTTATTAACCGCAGTCTCGTCTCATCGAATGCTGTCCTACGATGGCTACATTCTGGACAAACCTCAGTCACGAGAAACCAGTCCTGAACTGTAGACATTCTTCACACTATATACCATAATTTACATACATAACAACACAGTATTGTAATACCTTCTTTGACGAGTGAATGTTAACGTGCCTCGCTTGTGCTTGTTGAAGCACTAAAGTGGCAAAAACTCGATCATAACGGCGCAACTGCTCGTGGAATAGCTATTGCGCATAACTCATCAACTTATTCTCTAAATCACAGATCACAACTAAAAACGTCTAGCTATTGTATAGTGTTCAGTCACTTTTACTGCAGCATCAGTGAAGACAAAACTTCCAGGGCTGCTTTCATCCACAAATGCTTACTGGTGGAAACGGCCTTATTAGAATGCATCTTTCACTGCAGCAATCCCCATGATAGCGGCAGGCTTCATTTTGAGGAGTGCAACCTGTATTAGAGAGTCGGTAGACTCTCTATATAGGGATGAGACGGGTGAAATCTCACGTGATCCGCGTACAAAACGACTAAAAACTCGGTGAGAATCACTTCCTAGGCCTTCAAAACATACTAGCAATAGTCTACGGGCCCATATCTACCTATACATGTCCCCCAAGAGCTCATACGCACCTTCAGTCGTCCACGCGAGAATTCGCTCATACGCGATTTCACGATTTTCGTGTCATCATATTCTTCATCTTCTTCTTCTTCTTCTTCTTCTTAAACCCGCTATCTCCTTACCAGTACCAATTCAAGCACTGATTTTTTCACTGAAGGTCTCCAATTTCGCCGGAGGTGTGCACGGACATCAAGCGATCGTTTCTTTCTTGCCGCTAGTCACTACGGTAGATCATGGAGTTCTTCCCTGGTCGACCTGAACAACGCCATTTGCTGCTTACTCAGCATCAGTGATCCGCGCGCATGCGCCAGGCAGGGGCGTTGTCCAATGTGCTTGCGAGCGTATTCTACCGGGCGAGTTGGCAGACCTGCAGAGAACTGTCAGCCTCCAGTACCTTCTGTAAGTAAGTGTGCACATTTCCAACTGGCTATCTTGCTGTTCATTTGCACGAAGAGCAACTTGCCAGAGTCTGCGCGGTGTTAGCCTTGCGGGGCACTCAGTCAAATGGGCCTTCATTGTTTGTCCCCCCCAGGTTGTAGCCTGATTACCAAAGCCTGCCAATGAAACCACAACCATGTGCAATAATCTAATTACATCCTTGTTGAAGACAATACATGGTATCTAGCAGCCCCATTAGCTACTACTTACAATTTGTCTATGGTAGCCTATCTACAACATAGCCATGAACATCAGAGTGACTGTAACAATAAATGCCAAAAGCTGTTAAAAATAGTGGAAACAAGTGGAAAAATCTTTTCTTCAAAATGAAAGGGGGATATAGGGATGGCTTGAAGCACCAAAAAGGAAGAAACAAGGGGTCATTACACAGCAAAGTTGCACAAAGCTACATGACACCATCCCTATATCTTTGTGTTATATAATATAGTTCACAAGTAAAGTTTACTATGAGACAAAGATATAGGGATGGTGTCATGTAGCTTTGTGCAACTTTGCTGTGTAATGACCCCTTGTTGCTTCCTTTTTGGTGCTTCAAGCCATCCCTATATCCCCCTTTCATTTTGAAGAAAAGATTTTTCCACTTGTAATAATATACAAGTGGAAAAATCATTTCTTCAAAATCAAGGGGGATATAGGGATGGCTTCAAAAAGGAAGAAACAAGGGGTCATTACGCAGCAAAGATGCACCAAGCTACATGATACCATCCCTATATCTTTGTCTCATAGTAAACTTTACTTGTGAACTATATAATTATAACACAAAGATATAGGGATGGTGTCATGTAGCTTGGTGCATCTTTGCTGTGTAATGACCACTTGTTTCTTCCTTTTTGGTGCTTCAAGCCATCCCTATATCCCCCTTCATTTTGAAGAAATGATTTTTCCACTTGTTTCCACTATTTTTCATGCCTTATGACAACACTGCATCTTCTGTCACTCTGATGTTCATGGGTGTTGTAGAGTGTTTAAAGCAGAAGCTAATGGGCTGCTCCTACCTGAAGCAGGGTGTATACGTAGTGTCTCCAACAACGATGCAATTAAGTTGTGGCACATATGGTGGGTTGGTTTCATCGGCAGGCTTCAGTAATCAGGCGACAATGATAGCTATAACCTGGGGGACAAACAATGAAGGCGCTGGGCAAGGCCCGCGTAACACGGAGCACACTGCCAAGTTGCTCCTCGTCCAAATCAACAGCAAAACGCAAGGTAGCCAGTTAAAAATGTGTATACTGACTTACAGAAGGCACTGGGGGATAAGAGTTCCTCTGCAGGCATCCTGGCTTAGTCTAGTTCACGCACGAGACTGCGCGCGCACCGCATTGGGGAAACTCCCTCCTCGGCGCATGCGGCTCACTGATGCTGAGTTAGCAGCAAATGGCGTTGTCCAGTGACTACCGTGGAATAGATCAACGATCAACCGTAGTGACTTGCGGCAAGAAACAAGCGATCGCTTGATATGTGTGCACACCTCCGGAAAATGTGGAGATGTTCTGTGGAAAAATCAACGCTTCAACTGCTTCCGGTAAGGAGCTAGCGGGTCTGAAGAAGAAGAAGAACACTGTTAAAAAATATGGTGTTACCTAACACCCCATTTTCTGTACCAAAACTGGCAGGGTGTATTGGAGCACCAAAGGGGTGCTAAGTAGGTGTTTACTAACACTCTTGGGGTGTAGAGTAAACCATGGCACATTCTAGTGCTCACACAACACCTGAGGGTGTAATCCTACACTGACCCAGCACCTATATCACAACTTCCTTTGTATGCCTTGTGCATTGGTGTTTAATAATATTGTTCATAGGACGCAATGTCAGAAAATTTCATCATCCCATATCACATTCTCTTCACTGATTTATTATTGTTATTGTTTCACACACCGGTAGGTGAAAGAAAGAGAAAGTGATTTAATTGAGAAGAATTGATGATGGAGATAAAATTTTATCTTCATAAGGAGAGTGAATACCATGAAGATGTCTTATTGTGCATCAAAGTCACTGTAAAAAGAGAATGACAGTAAGCAGACGAGTCACACCCACTGCGCATGCGCGTAGAAGGTCGTCTGCAGCACATGACCTTTACCATCCTGCACGCCCACGTACACCGGTGGTTAGTGAGATCATGTTCGCGCTCATTTTCAAATGCAAGTAGAAGTAGACTATCTCTATGGCTGTGTTTTTGGCGACTCTAGCTACAGTATTTAAAGGCTTTCTGGAGCCCAAGACCACCATCAGACGAATACTATGGCTACGAAGGCAGATTTCGATGTAGCGTCACCCCGTCGAAGAAAACGTAAGGACTGATCATAGCTACGTAGCTAAGACGGCACTGAATTGTTTTAGACTCCAGCTACTCCGAGCCCAGCAGCAGCAGCAGCACCAGCGAGGGGTACTACAGCCTGGGTTAGTGCTTAGTGTTCCTGACGTTTTCTCCAGACGGACGCGTGAGGGAATTGAGAAAGGAGAGAGTAGGAGCGGCCAGCATTAGATAACTTTGTTACTTCCAGTACCAGTATGGCAGTCGAGGGGAGGGAAGATCAGAACAGTAGGGCTGAAAGTGAGTCATGCAATCGGTATTTTCAAGGCTTTCAGATGTTGGTATTTCTTCATATGAAGAGGAATTTAAAAGGCTATATAGGAGTTGAAATTGCTGAAGAAATTGGCAGGATTTATTGCTATCTGCCAAGATTGGTATAATTATATCTTTGCAGAGTTGGAGTCACAAACCAATAGGAATGCCCTTTCATAGCAGAAGGAAGAAGTCAATTCATTTCCTCCTGATGCATAATGATGAGCATACATGGTACTGTACACTTCCTTCTCATATTTCAAGTTGGTCAAGTGAGTGGGAAAATATAATTTATATGCATAGTGGTATTGGAGGTGCATGCATACATCTTTCTTCCCACTTCCCAGGATTACAGCTGCTGCAAATGATCCATTCTTTGGAGCTTACTGAGCTGAGCTTTTGCTTGCTCCTCGAGCAAAGATATCACTTGTGCATCATTCATCGGTTTTCTGTAAGTCAACATTATATATAATATCATGTACATAACTATGGACGAACTGTTGTTATAGAATGAGCCTGACCTTCATGAGGCTGTGAAGAAAATCACTGAAAACCATGGTTACATCTCTGTGGTTACTTCTGACAAAAGGACTCTAGCATCATTAGATACAATAGAAATTTTTTCTTTTTTATCTTTATGCTCTTTATTGTATCATTGCTCTTTGTATCTCATGCTCTTTTACTGTGAAATATTGTTGTCACTTCAACAGTAAGAGCAATGGCGCTACTGCAACAACGAACAGTGCTCTAGAGCACCAACTGTGTGTTGTCGAACACCCTATGAAGAATTGAAGCAGCACCTAATGCATGTTTATGAACACCCCAGAGGGTGTATTGTAGCATCAACAGAAAGGCTAAATAGCACTCTTGTGGGTGTACATTGCCCCAGAAAGGGTGTTCCTGTACACTCTTATGGGTGTACATTACCCCAGAAAGGGTGTTCCTGTACACTCTTATGGGTGTACATTACCCCAGAAAGGGTGTTCCTGTACACTCTTATGGGTGTCCATTGCCCCAGAAAGGGTGTTCCTGTACACTCTTATGGGTGTCCATTGCCCCAGAAAGGGTGTTCCTGTACACTCTTATGGGTGTCCATTGCCCCAGAAAGGGTGTTCCTGTACACTCTTATGGGTGTCCATTGCCCCAGAAAAAGTGTTCCTGTACACTCTTATAGGTGATGGTTAACACCAACCCTAACACCCCAAGGGTGCCAAACTGGCACAGTCCGGATCCCACGGGCGCCCCAAAAGGTGTTGCCGTAACACCCCATTTTTAACAGTGAAGAAGAAGATGAAGAATATGATGATGACACGAAAATCGCGAAATCGCGTAAGAGCGAATCTCTCGTGGAGAACTGAGGGCACGTAGGAAGTCATGGGGCATATGTATAGCTAGGTATTGGCCTCTAGACTATTGCTAGTGATTTTGAAGCCATGGTGAGTCATTCTCGCTGAGTTTTGAGGCATTTTGTATGCGGATCACGTGAGATTTCACTCGTGTCATCCCTATATAGAGCGTCTACCGACACTCTGATACAACAAGTTTACATAGCAGAGAGTGTCACTACTTATATAGAAGATTATATAGCAATCTGAATAATAAAAATTTACTGAAAGGTTACTATGATGTATGCAAATTAAAATGGCATTGAAAATACACTTTAAAGAAGATTTCGACAAGTTTGTCTCCAGGGCCACGGGTTTGCATGGCAGCTCTTTTTGGTTAACATTAGGTTTGCTCAGCATAATTATTATTGGACCTCGTGTTAGATAGAGGACCTGAGAGATCTGACATTTACGTAGCAGGCCCACCGCAGAAAATCGAGCATGGCCGAACATCAAGGCAATAGATTATCATCATGTCAGGTACTCGAGGAATCTAATTCACTATTATTATAGAGGCATGAAGCCAAGAAGATAATTCTAGTAATTATGCATTCTTGTATCAGCAATGGTTCAATTTGTGACTTTCATGCACACACAATAATAGAAAGAAACAGTAGTCAAGCAACCCCACTCTCCTAACGAGGAGGTTGCGGGTAGCTACACCGAAAAATCGTTGCTAGTGTGGAAAACTGTAGGAACGTATGATTACAAGTGGAAAAATCATTTCTTCAAAATGAAAGGGGATATAGGGATGGCTTGAAGCACCAAAAAGGAAGAAACAAGGGGTCATTACACACCAAATATGCACAAAGCCACATGACACCATCCCTATTATCTTTGTCTCATATTAAACTTTGCTTATGAACAATAAAAACAAAGATATAGGGATGGTGTCATGTGGCTTTGTGCATATTTGGTGTGTAATGACCCCTTGTTTCTTCCTTTTTGGTGCTTCAAGCCATCCCTATAGCTATCCCCCTTTGATTTTGAAGAAATGATTTTTCCCACTTGTTTCCACTATTTTTAATGGCTTATGACAACACTGCATTTTCAGTCACTCTGATGTTCATGGGTATGTTGTAGAGATAACTGAGCAGAAGGTAATGGACTGCTCTTACCTGAAGCAGGGTGTAATTCGTCTATATAGTGTCTCCAACAAGGACGCGATTAGGTTGTGGCACATAATAAAATATGGTGGTGGTTTCATTGGGCAAGCTTCAGAAATCAGACTACAAATGATAGCTATAACCCGGGGGACAAACAATGAAGGCGCCTGCGTAACACGGTGCAGATTGCCAAGTTGTTCCTCGTGCAAATCAACAGCAAAACGCAAGATAGCCACTTACAAATGTGTACACCGACTTACAGAAGTAACTGGAGGATGAGAGTGGTTTTCTCTGCAGGCATCCAGTCCTGATCGTATGTGGACCAGGTTTACGTGACAAAATACATGTAGGATGGACCTGATGTGTTGGCTACAACTCTTTCTCGCATTTGCTGCGAAGAGTAGCGTTACCTTGGCTCTGAGCCCTACAAAGGTTTTTTTCAACATTCCAGAGCTGATCGGGTGGGACACACACATGGTTGTGCGCACTCAGCCATGCTACGTAGTTTACTCAGCTAAACAAACAAGGTTACGGATACAAGGTGTTAGGTCTAAGGCAAACGTTTTCTCTGTTGAGTGACGCTAGTTTTGGGTAGCTGCGTAAAAGCACCTGCGTATAATATAGCTATATCGAAATCGTTGTCGTGAGCAGAATACATGTCGGATGGACCTGATGTGTTGGCTACAACTCTTTCTCGCATTTGCTGCGAGTAGCGTTACCTTGGCTCTAGAGAGCCAGGAGCCCTACCACCAGATATATCCCCCAGTCAACGACACGGATGGCCGGACACCGCTGTATTTCGCAGTAGTACTTTCTTTTGGTGGGAGCAGCTACAAGAGCGTCGGAGCACTGCCGGGAATCCAGATAGCACTGGACTACATCAACAGGGAACCCTCCATCCTCCCTGGATACAGTCTTCACTACACCCTCACCGACTCCAAGGTTCGACACACTGAATATTATAGGTAACCAGCTCATTTCTTTGCTGTATATACTTCGCTCAATTCTTTGCTGCGTAGCTAGCTACTTCGAGGACGCTTACAGCTACACAAGGTAGAGCAGCTATATAGTTGTAGTCCCTTGAAACCAGCGAGAGCCTCGCAAGAAATAACCACGGGCACCTACAGCACGAAGCCCATCCAATGACGGTCAGTCAACACATGTATAGCTATGTTATTACACCTTTTGGAGTGGTGTTGCTTGTTTATCCGCCCGAGTCCCCGAGGGCGCGTAGCGCCCGAGGGGGGGCGGCGGATAAACAAGCAACACCACTCCAAAAGGTGTAATAAAATGCTTATTACCGTTGATTGGTCTTTGCTGGGGATACCACGCGCGATAATGGCGCATTCACCCAAATAAGGCGATGCGCGTGAACCTGCGCAAAACGTGCCGTTCTATTATTACGCGGCTGGCCAGCTCAGCTCAGCCAGGCAAACACGAACGACGCTGACAGATAGAGGGAGCGATCTAGGGAGCGAATAGCATAGGCTTTTCGTTTGGAAGTCGAGGGTTGGGATTCTGAGACGTCGCTGCAAGACTCCGCGTCCGAGAGTAGCGCTCCTGGGGACGGGCCGTCTTCATCGAAAAGACGTGGGCTCTCGCTATCTCTGACAAGAAAGAGGGCTACGTGCACTACTTCCACAGCTACAGAGAGGTTTGCACGTAGCCCTCGTTCTTGTCAGAGATAGCGAGAGCCTACGCCGGCGGCCCGTCCCCAGGAGCGCTACTCTCGGACGCGCAGTCTTGCAGCGACGTCTCAGAATCCCAACCCTCGACTTCCAAACGGAAAGCCTCTGCCATCCTTCGATCTGTCAGAGTTTGTACATAAAACATTGATACCCAACCATAACCACAGTGGATATTCACACCATTTCACCCTCTTGGGTGGGTAGCTGATTTATTGTGCTAAAATAAACATAGCAACGGGTAATAAGTATCTAGAAACTACTTTGTAAGATAATGCTTTGTTGTCTGTTTAGAGTGCAAGACATTGCACACACGGTTCTCCGGGGCGTACTGAATCTTTAGCAGAGGCAAATTGTGTGCGCAATGATGTTGCGCAATGTCAGTGTTTGATTGCGGAAGGCGGGCAGAGCAATACGGCGATGCTCAGAGCGATCCCAGGCTTGTAAGATTCTTGAGGAGATGTCTGCTCTTGGTTGATGTAACCTAGTGCTATCTGGTCAAGACGCTATCCGTCATACAACTCCAACAGAGGCACCTTAGCCGAGCTGTATTCTAGCGCTCAGCAGCACAGCTGCTGTGGTTATTCTGCATAATAAAATATTCATAAGTCGGCAAAAACAGAGGAGGCTCCTCTGCCTCAATGCTAGCTACGCCCCTGTTCTCCCCTATGGATTAATTCCTTTTATTTCCATGTTCATTACACTATAAAAACTAGTCAGACACAGGCAGTTCTCCAACATTACACAGTGCACAGACACTACAAAAGCTGACTCTGAACTCTGGGATGGACCACAGGCTGGACTATCGACTGGCTTATATATGAAGAGTTTGCTTAATAACATAAGTCCAGTGCTGCCTTGAAGCTGGTCGTTTTAGTCAGGATGGCTTTTAGCAGTCAGTGGAGTCATCTTCAGTGTTGCAAGGAGTAGTCCTAGCCTAGTACCTAGCTTCATTCAAAGCGATGAATAGTCACATATGACACTTTTTCTCTACACAATAACCCCGCCAGATGGCTGCAGTGTTATGGTGGGTCTTGGCCAGGTTTTGAACTGCATCAGGCGTAGTCAGTGCAAGACATGGTGACCTGGGCCAGTTAGACTGGCAACATAGCCAGCACCTTTTCTCTGACGAATGGCCAAGACTGGCGTCAACCCTGATGAGATATATAGAGATATCAAGAGTATCCCACTACCATTATGCTCAACTTTTCAGTACAAAGGCAGTCCACAGTCCTGTCCATTGTAGTCCACAGTCCAGCTTTTGTGGAAAACCACAGTGCTAACAGCTCAAACATTCTCCAACTACCCATTGTCAAGTTATCTAGCTATGTGAGGAAGCTCAACCTCCATTTAAGCTATAAAAACATCTAACATTCTCAGACTACCCATTGTCAAGTTATCTAGCTATGTGAGGAAGATCAACCTATATATAGGCACTGATGATAGAATAACAATGCAGGTATATTTCTTTGCTCCATTCTAAGTCCATACTGGTTCTCCCAAACTCGAACATTTGCTCTTTCTCCTCGCTGCAGTGTGACCGCTCCACGGCCATCAGGTCCTACTTTACTCAGATTACAAATCTTCCTACTAAGGTAGGGTGGGTGGGGTCAGGCTGTTCCCCAGCCACAGAGCCCACTGCCGAGCTGACTCAATACCACAATATTGCTCAGGTCTGGTCATTTGATTCTCAAGAAAATTTTGCTTAAGAGTGCATATTATCTATGACATCCTGAGTTGGGTTAGTCCTCGTGATCAGTTCCTCTCACACCTTCACCACCGCACGCTGGTGGCGATTCAGGTCTCTCCTTTCATGTGTGTACACTTTCACAACCAACTCCCTTGATAAAAATCACAGGTACTACTTCAGCTACTATCAACTGAGCATCAACAGCCTATGGGTTCGTATTCGATCATTCAGTATTTGGTGGAAAGAGTCGTACTCATTACTCAAGGAGAAAATTTTGTTTATTGCAGTACGTGGTTTCATAAGGAGTCACTCACATTAAAGAATGCT